CTATCAACCGCAGCCGCACCACCCCCTCAGCCCCTCTCCATCACCGCCCTCATCACAACCACCATCGGCCTCCCACCAGATCCGACCTGCCTCTTCTTCAACAGCCTCAACCACCGCCTCACCCACGCCAAGCTCCCCAACCACCAGATCCCGTCGCCCTCCTCCATCTCGAGCTCACAACGCCAATCCGAGCCCCGATATCCTCCGCCATTCATCCTCAAGCGTTGTTTGGCCTCTTGTCTCCTCAATTCGAAGCTCACACCGACAAGTCCTCGGGTCTGATTCTTTTAAATCAGATCCGCACTGTTCATTTGGATTTGATTTCAGTTTGGACCCGACCCGTACAGTAGCAGACCCACTAAGAGTTCATGCTGGATTCCAAGTTGGTTCAGATCCATTTGGGAGTTAAGTTCGAGCCTGATTCGAGTTCACCTCGTTTGTTAGTCTTCTGATGCATTACTTACTTTTTTGCTAATTTCATTTTATTAGTTAATTGCATGCGTATTAAATCTCTAAACTATTATCATATATTCACTGTTTAAATTATTTTTGTGAGTTGAGAGAACTGAGCATGTGACTGTTAATTTTGATATTGATTTTAGAACTTGCGCAACGATAATAAATATTGCAGTTAAATAGACCGAGATTGGAGTTGTTCATAACTATTGTTACAAATATTGTTAAAACCCATCTATCGCATTAACTATTTTATTTAATTTCCTACCGAATATTATGAATTTTGGCGAAACGTTGTATTATTCGAATTAAATCACTGATTCTGATAGACCACATGTTCCGTTTCGCATCAGTGCCTTTGCTCTGTTCTGTCTAATTTATCTCCTACCAGCCACACCTATAGAACAAGATCTCATACTCAATACATACTGCCCCTTATTTTTTTTAAAGAGTTACTTGCACCAATACCCCCTGTAGTATGGGATGTAGCTACTTATACCCCCTAAACTATTTTATGAGCCTTACACCCTCTGAACCAGATGATGTTATATCCTATTAGGTTGAGATGTCACTTGGAAATCTTGTGTAATTAAATTGCACTCAATTTAAAGAAAGCGAGTTATTATTTGGTAATTTGTGATTCCCATTATGTCGACAGAACAATATAATAGGAAACAACCTTGCCTGTGGTTTAAAGGGTGTGAGTTCTAACAAAATAGTGTACGAGGTATAACCACTTAACACCTGTGAGTAAAGGGGTAGTAAGTCTACAATTGTTCCCTGGAGCCAATGATTTTTTTTTTTTGAAATCTTTCCTCTAGTCTACCTATGTGCATGTGCATAAAATATGTTGTGATTCACAGCTTAAACACGGAGAGGAGAGGCTCAAAGTTACCTCAGGGGTGTAATCCTTCGAAAGTGACAAATAGCTCTGCTTGTTTGCCAAAATATCTAACTTGAGAAAATGGTACGCTTGCTTATTTGCAGTGTTTTAAATATCGGCCGCTATGTCGGACATGGCGGCCGATATGGCGGTTTTATCCCCTAGCCGCCACGATATCCTTCATTTCAATGCGTATTGCGTTTCTGAGGTCATGTTGGGGACATGTCGGAAAATATCGGGTATGTCGGGTGCCATTGCGGCCAAGAAATATCGGGTAAATTTCAGAAAAAGTGGTTTTAAGCTTATTGGGTCAAGTTTGAAAAACCCGACTCGGAAATCAGGTGTCTACAATTGGTTAGTGATCCTAACATCAATAAGTTTTGGTTAGTGATCCTAACATCAATAAGTTATGTACTTTTTCATATGTTTAGACAATATAATTATCAAGTATGTGAAGATTCTATTTATGATATTATATCAACCTATCCGATATGGCAATCCGATATTTTTTCTATGTCCCCCGATATATCCCCGATTTTCGCTATCCGACATGAATTTTGGCCGACTGACATGAACCCGACATCCGACATTTAAAACATTGCTTATTTGTCACCATAACCTGGTTCAATATGTATGATCAATGATTCTATCAAATTTTGCGACAGAGTTTATAATAAGGTGATCATTTACCTTTGCTGCCTTTTTGGCATAATGTATGAATTACTGCACAAGCAACCTTCGAAAGATGTCCACAAAGAAGAACTTCTTTTGTTCCTTCTGGAATGCTGTTGAGAACTACAGAGGCAGGTAGGCTACTTCCAACTACAAGTTTCACCTTTAGTTTTGGGTACTGCTCAAGATAGAGCTCATCACCACCATTGAGTTCTTTTGCCTGAAAATAAAGATTGTATTGTCACGGTACTGTAGGTCATTACATCAAATATATTGTCTTATTGACCTTGATCTCTAGTTCTTATTTCTTTTCATGCACTTCCATGTTCTGATCAGTGGCGACAGGGACATACCTGATTAAGGAGTCCTAGGCTCACAACTGTTAACACCTTTTCTGTCGGCTTCTTTTATAGCATTTTCAATCATACGATCGATTCCTTTTCTTCTCCATGATGACCCATACTGCAGGTGCATAAACAATCAAAATTATTCTCCAGTTAAGAATACCCTTAAAAAACAAACGAGTTTCTAAAATGCAAGCTTTTTACTTGGAAATTGTGTCTTGGTATTGCCCGTGTTTGCATGTTCAATTTCTTCAACATATTCTTTTCCACTGTGAACGAAGATCGGTAGAGTGATGTCAGAGCCATCGACAACCATGCATGCGAGTGGCCGCAAGATCTTGGTATAAAAACTTGATTTATAGGGTGTAGCAGCCATCGAGGCAAATCCTAGACGTAGACGGTAGAGGGACTGCAAGCTAGTAAAATGTGTAAGGTGAACAACATCTGNGTATAGTTCATCAGATGATTTGTCCACGGTGTTGTAAAGGTAGTCATAGAGTGGCATGAACAAGCAGTAGTTTGTTCGAAACCGTGTGCGATGTAGAGAATGAAACCTGAAAGTAGTTGTTTTCAAAATTTCAGTAATTATATTTGTTGTTAAGGGTTAACTGCACATAGACCCCCTGTAGTATCTCCATTTTGCAGTTGGTGAAGTATATCCTTTTACCCCGGGTTAAATTTTCTTTCTTTTGCCCTTGGTAAAATTTTAGCAGATATTGCCCTTCACTGAAATTAGTGGGTCTATCTGAAGGTAAAAGAGTAAAAAAAAGGGGTTCTATTTACAACAATGATAACAAATGGTAGTATGCTCAAAACAACGATACAACAAGGGGTCTATGTGTGATTAACCTTATCGAGAATAAATTCTTTTTTATGTCATAAATCGCCTCTTCCCTATTTGATTTGTTCTCAAAACTGATAATACTGAATATGACACTTACGATGGTGTGTACAAGAAGTACTTGAGAGGGGGGAATGCTTTGAAGATCCACTCTGGTATTATCTCAACATTGCAGTGCCCTAAGTTGTTCATAAAATCGATATACACAATATAGGCCATGGTCGACAAAAGGGAAGCTGTCCCAGTGAGGATTGTCGTCAGTACTGGGATGACAAATAGTAAAGAGTACATCAAATGCTCAGCGAATGGATGTGTTAAAAGAGAGAGAGAGTCTTAGGGTAAATTTTCCTTAGATTAAGTATTGAATGTGTACACGTATATATATACAAGTAGAGGAGGGTGAGATGTGCTCTTATAACAAATGTGAGACTAAACTCACTACTAACATGTACAGCTTGTGCCTCCTACGACCAGCCTCAACAGTCTTGCCCGTCTGTGGATCTTGCAAGTATCAGAAGAAAATGAGACAAGTAGGTCAGTCATATATAAAGAACTAATAGAAATCAAATTCAAGCACAAGTGAGGAGCCACATAGACGGGGCTAAGTGTTAGACGACCATATGTGTTATTTTGTGGGGGTGATAGAGCCATGCTCAGTGATAGTCAATGGTTGCCCAGCAGCCGTATAGACAGTGAGAAGAGAATATGAAGTGAAGACAGAGGATAAGAGTGAGGCATTTCGAGTCATATGAAAGGAACAACCAAAGTCAAAAATCCAGAGATCATTCCTACCAGAGACTTGTGCAGTCGATGAGTTAGCAAATCCAGACAGTGATGTAGAGGTGGTATGCTGAAGAGCATCAAGTTGACAACGAAGTTTTTCAATAGCTTGAATGATAGTATCAGAAAGTGATAGATGATATAGCATTGGCCAACAATCCTGATGCGCGAGAGGGTTGAGACTGAGGGGGTCGCCGACCACGACAGGTACCTGGGGTACGCAACTTAGGATGAAGCTTGATACATGTCTCAATGCGGTGTCCCTCCTTGCAATATGTGCAAAAAAGCTTAGATCGAGCTTGTTGAGAAGTACGATTCATAATAGGAGCAGTAACTGGTACAGACAAAACAGTCTCGAGTGAAGAGGTAGGAGCATCTATGGTCAAATTAAGTTGTGTGGTCTGCTGTCGTGTCTCATAAGCAATGAGAGCTCCCATAACCGAGGCCAAAGTCGGAAATTGAGGTTGATGAAGTAGTTGATCAGCCATAGTTGAATATTCAGGAAGAGACTGAAACAGTTGATGCACCTCGCGCCGTTCATACCAAACTAGCCAGTCTTCGTATATGGAATCACGTCCAGGAAGCATGGAGCGTAATTTTATCCAATATGCTTGTATAATGAGACTGCAGAGAGGAACTACCTTTGCGTTATATAGCAACGTGTTGCAAAAGATATGCCTCCCGTGCACCGGAGCACTCTGTGAAGTGCTCAATGAGACGACTCCACATGGCCGAGTAGAAGGAAGCGAGCCAATATCGACAGTGAGACCAGAGCTAACACAGCGAGTGAGATAATCCATGACACAAAATTCCTGCAACTGCCCGTCCGAACTCTCCTTGACATAGAGCACTTGCGGTTTGAAAATCGGTATCACCGCTGCCAGATGTAACAATACTGGATGAAGCAACAATGCTGATGGACGGTGGAACTGGTCCCGAACTAGTGAGATGATCAAGCAAAGCATCATTATGCATGGTATTTACGACAATGGTGGACCACCCCACCCAATCACTTTGATCATTGAGGGGCTGGGGTGGTTTATGGATCTTTTCTGAAGGAGCCATATTAACAGCAATGTTGTGTAGAGAAGACCTACTTAAGTGTAACATAATATTGGAAGGCCCACAATTAAGTGACAATGCAAGGAAGACCCAAAAATAAAACCCACGACGGATCAATGCCGATGTTGAGACGTTAAGACGTCAAGATGGATTGAAATACTGATGTCGTTAGTTTGAGACCGAGAGACAGTCTTGAAACGACGATGCCGTTACTGAAATGGCGATGCCGTTAGTTTGAGACCGAGAGACGGTATTGAAACCGCGATGCCGTTACTGAATGTGAAACCGATGCCGTTTGTGTGAGGCCAAGAGACGGCTGCCACGGAGGCCGCGATGCGGCAAGCACGGAGGCGACAACGAAGAGGCTGTAATGCGGCGAGGCCAAGATTTGGCAAAAAAATTAACCTTGTTATGATACCATGTTAAGAGAGAGAGAGAGAGAGAGAGAGAGAGAGAGAGAGAGAGAGAGAGAGAGAGAGTCTTGGGGTAAATTTCTCTTAGATTAAGTATTGAATGTGTACACATATATATATACAAGTCGAGGAGGGTGAGATGTGCTCTTATAGCCAATGTAGGACTAAACCCACTACTATTACATACAATAATATCAACAGGATGAACCACAGCTGCCATAAACAACACAAGCATCAAGTCAATAGCATAATAGTCAAGTATTTCAGAGTCTATAGTTTTGTGAATGTTGGTTCCAAAAGGCCCGTAGACGGGGATGAAGTGGCTTATTTACTTAGACTAAAATTGACATTAAACTGTTAACTCTATTTGAATCATGAGGCCAGACATATTTAACCTATATCCGTCTACTCGTTTTTCAACGTAGGACTCATATTTCTATCTCATTTATTTTCTTAGATCAAGCACACATTACACTGAATGAATGCCAAACATTCTTAATAGTGCATATAAACAACAAACGAAAAAACAATACCACGTGTGCAACTTATTTATGAATAAAATCAAGTCGTACATGTTATGGGCTCTGTGATGATATTGGAGGCGTGATGATCGATGAGAATGATAGCGTGCGTAGAGAAAATGATGGTGCAGAGCTCTATGGAGCCAGTAGTACAGGAACTCGACAGGGCCTGTGCGCATCAGAGCGATAACGGTTGCACCACTGTTCTTCCATAGAGGCAGATGATCAGCGCCAGGAAATATGGAGTAGCCCAGGTAGTACACAATTCCATTCAAGATGATCTGGTCGTCCCTGTAAATTTTTAAATTGCATTTACAAACTGCTACGTTTTATTGTCGTCCTCTATCCAGTGAAAAAGTATCGATCAGTGCATTTTTCCTACGTATCTTGCCCCCAGATAGTTTGAGAAAACAGCAGTAAGGCGTGCGCACCATGTTCGGCAACTCCGACATAAAACAAGGTCAGTGGAACAAAACCTTATTAAATCCTGTTTGGCAAAAAAAACTGAGCCGGGATTGGTCAATTTTTTCAGTTCAACTTCTGGCCGGTTCTTTTTTGTTCCGCAGTTAAACTATTTTAGTAGTAACAGCTTAACTCGATGTCAGGAGCCTGTCAATGGAGCCTATCAATGGAGCCTGCCAATGGACAACGAAGTCTCAAACCTGTCAACCACAGACATGTGACTGATATGCAAGTGAAGATTTGATGTGCAAATCCTTGGAACATTAGAGGGGTTAATTGCAAGTGTTACATGTCCAGCTCAGCAGCTCCTCAGCAGTATTAACTGCTTCCATTTTCTGTTTTGTTTGTTAGATTGGTGCACGTGCACGAACAGAGTGCGTTTCCTTTTCTTTTGAGAGGAGGTTTGGATTTGTATAAAAGGAGATCGAGCTGTAGAAATCTGAATGTTTTAGGAAATGAAATGAATTGATTTCTTCTTCTCAACTCAATCTCAGCTCTCTATCTTTGTTCTTAATCTTTCTCAATCTCTCTCAACTCTCTCTGTTTCTTCCTGATACTCTCTTCTTGAGTTTTGTACAGGTTCAGCCATGGCCGGAAACAACCCCAAAAGAACCAATCGAGGTTTCAGAACCTCACACTCGAGTTTGCGAAACAGACGCCGAGGGAAACAATCCTACTTTTAATGTGGATATATGATGTCTGTCTTTTTATGGAACATCAACTACCTCATCACCATTAATAGTGAAGCCTATTATAGCTTTGGGACTCAAACTAAGTGATCAAGAGTGATGACCGGTCTAGTGGTCCATGTCTCCTAAATAGTTGGTAAATCAAAATAATAATAAATAAATAAAATTTTAGATTGATAGAAAAGGTGCACTGATAAAAAAAAGAGCTTTGCTACAGGGACCCAAAATATGGGACCAATAAGGGGGACAAGTGAGGTGTCCCCATCCTATTGGATAATGAGTTGGTCATCATTAATGATGGCCAACTCATTATCCAATAGGATGGGGACACCTCACTTGTCCCCCCTATTGGTCCCATATTTTTGGTCATTGAAGAATTTTTCTAAAAAAAAAGTTTTTTGTCCCCCTTACAGCGCGCCAACTATGTATCCAATAGTCATTGACTGTTCCAATTTTAGATGGGTTGACTCACCAGTGGCTTTCTCTGTCGACTTGGTCGAACTCTAGACTGCGGTTGACGATGCAGCGAGGACTGCAGGCATTGAAGTAGCGGGAAAGGCTGATCCATGCCTGGTTGTGAAACATTCTCGACAGCATCAGGTACCCGATATCATCTGGGTCCCTCGGGAGAAGGCTGATCCACCAGAAACTGCATTCACGCAACAAATTAGAACGCGTTAGTTTTGAACCTACTTTTTTTAATCTTTACCGTCTATCATTTAATACATGATTATGATTTGCTTTGAGCGAAAACTTAGAAGAATACATGCGTGTTACTATAATGTGAGTGGATCATATTACTATATTAACAATGTGGTCTCTTTACTGTCAGCTTCGCAGCGGAGAAGACACGTATGCAATTAAAAGGTCATGTACATTTATATTGAAATTATCATTATTGACATATAATGAACAATCACAGTAGGTGCTCTCCTTGTAAGTCATTTAACATCCAGAAAACTGCCAATTATAAAATACGTCCCAAGCAAAAATATCACAAGTACCCCCACGTCCTGGGCCGTTGCAAGAAAAATTATAACCGAAATCCTTTCCATCTGGCATTAATTTGGAACCGCGCGCATCATTATGCTACCTCAGCTCATATATAGTTGTCAGGCGTTCTCTTATCAACTCCTCTCTTCAGCATTTTTTAGTTGAAGAAGAAAATAAGAAGAAATTATTCAGTATTTTTAGCATTATCATTGAACATTCATCCTTGCAGCTTATTCTCCTTTGAGGCTAATGTTAAGAACAATCTCTTTAGTAGTTTTTAGTTGAAGAAGAAAATAAGAAGAAAAAAAAGTTGAGAGTTACCTTAAAACTTGCAAGCTTTTCCCATGGCCATTCATAGAAGAGGCCAGGTCTTCTCTTCTCAGCTTCTTCAACTTGTAATTTCTCTTCAGTACCGACGTTCTACTTATAGTACTGCCACTCCACTCATTAAATTAAAGAGGTCAGATTCAGTTAAGAGTAGCTATAGCTCTCATTGAAAATTGAAAATGAAATTGAAGAAATTGGTTGGCTTGCTTTTATTATTATCATCAGTCGAGTTCTTGACTAAAAACTTAACGAAGTTAAGCATCGACGTGGGACTGCATTTTTCCATGCAAAGGAGCAGCTGAGCTCCGGGTCCAAACACAACCGCAATATTTGTGGTCTCTACGTGAACGTGCATGCCTATAAATGTTTGTCGGATCGCTGAAAACATCAGGACAAACAAAAAGGTGACGGACCGCACAAAAAATAAATGCACCGAAACTATAAAGCGAACAACGAAAGATTAACATAGTAAAAAAATATTATAAAATTAGGAATAATATTTTCCCAGCCGCTACAAATAGACCCAAAACTCTTCAGGAAAAATCATTCCAGAAATAACTCCACATATAGAAGAGTGAGAGAGAAAAATAGAGAGACTTTCTCTTTGTAAAGAGAGATTAATGTAACTCAAATTTTTTTCCTCAGAGTGAATTTTTCTATCATTGCCCGTGGTTTTTACTCCAAATTCATTTAGGGGTTTTTCCACGTAAATCTGTGTGTTCTTTTATTACTTCCACTCTACTATTCGTTAAGACCCTGCTATATTGGGCACCGGGTTTTTTCTAACAAGTTGTATCAGAGCCTGATTTAGGGTGTGTGTATCTATTTATCGTATGCTCTGTGGCTGCCACCAAAGGTGGATCATTTACATCAAAAAATAAGTTAAATTATCATTTACCCTTTGAAGGCGACGGGTGCTATTCACGAGCACAAAACAGTTCATAAATACAGTACTATTTACTGATATAGTTATTGTTCATAATACAGTTACTGTTTACGTGAAATAGTAAGAAGTTACTGTTCGTGGTAGAAGCAATGACGGCGAAGTTCGAGAAAGAAATTCAACGGGAGTAATTTCTCACTGTGAAAGTTAAAGATAAAGGCTATATTGAGAAAAGATAATTGCCTAGCGACCATCGGTGCAAAACCAGATAACATCACAGATGATAAAAAGTGAAACGAGATGGACGAAAATGCTATTGTAAATCATCATCTGGCATTAGCAGACGGGGTGCTATCACGCATAGAGGAGAAGAAGACAACAAAGGAGATCTGGGATACTCTAATAAATCTATATGAGGCAAAATCCCTGCATAACAAAATCTTCTTAAAAAAGAGACTTTACACTCTGAGGATGACAAAATCTACATCAATGACTGACCACCTCAACAACTGTTGACGTTAATGATCACATAGTAAACCGTGTGAACATATCTTAAATGCTCTCTGAGGCATTCATCTTGAAATTCTCATATTTGCTTAAAATAATTATGAGGCCCCCCTGACCTGTGAAGTTCACTGATGTGTAACCTCTAGTGTTTTTTAAATTTCCTGCACAGTGATACTATTTAAACACGATTAAATTTTTTAGAAGTTAAAGAATAATAAATAGCGTTTATAGCTTTAGCATTCGCTAAATAAAGTTGTTTGTCCTTGTAGTGGTTTTCAACACACTCCCGAACATCATGCTTGGTGGACATCAAAAAGACTTTCATATGCACTTTCCAATAGGTGTAGTTTTTCCTTTCTAAAAGTGGAGGACGGTTTACAGTGTGTCCCTTAGGAAAAGCCATTTTGGCTGTAAGATTAGACATCTCTACCATAGGTTTTGAATCCTAAAGATAGGTAACAATGCTCTTATACTACTTGTTTGAACTGAGACTGCAAGGCCTAGGAAAGGGTGCGTCACCGGGGGGGGGCGCGGGTGTTAAACAGCTGTTTGCTACAAGTTTTTGCTAAAATACAGATTTTACAGCAGAAATATTATCAAAATAAAAGTGAAAACCAAACCAATCACAAATCAGAGGACACACAAAATTTCATAGTGATTCGGATAGAAATTTTATGCTCACTCTTCCTTCTCCCAAAGGGCTTCCTCACAGTGACCAGAGTTCACCTGAATAACACCAAATTCAATAGACTTACCAAGACCGCACCCTAGAATCTATTCAAAACTAGTTGTCTAACCTAACTTCTAAAAGATGAGTAACATCTAGCCCTAGCTAATCCTAACTCTTAATTACTACCAGCTTGAGTACGCAGTAAAAACAAGATAAAACAAATCAACCAAAATAATTTAAGCAAAAATCAAAAAGATCTTGCATCCCTTTTAAGCAAATCATTTTTCGAAGGAATTAAAGTGAAGCTTGGCAAAGAACCCGTGACGATGATGAGTCCAATGGCAACTCTCTTCGCTGAAATGATCTGAATCTGCTGAGCATGATGAGAAAAAGTTTGACGAGGCTCTGGGAATTGAATCACAAATCAACTATATACACAAACCCTAGAATAAAATCTCTTTCTTTTTCTCAAAGCAAGAAACTCTCCAAAATATGATCTCTTCCTATCTTATATAGCCTTTAATAATAAACAAAAGAGATATAAGAATCATAGTAGAAATTGGAGATGAAAGGGGTCAACGAACAGTTGAGATTAAATCAAAAAAATCTATCAAAACGTGTCATCACCATCAATAGTTAAACATGACTATTGATGATCGCCTACGCATCATCGATGATACACTCTAGCCCATCAATGAGTTAAAATTTGATTTCTGAATTCATCGAATGTTCATCATAATCCACCAATGGTGTAACTTGGCAATCAATGGGTGCCTACAGTCCATCGACGGTATGAATTCTGAATTATGTTTTTCTCCGATTGTATATTGTAGTCTATTCATTGTCCTTGTGAGCATTGATTTGATGGCTGAAATTTACATAAATGTTATTTTTCGCATTATTTCGTCTCAAAACTTTCATATACCTATTTATACCTGAAATATATCATCTCAAACAATCATCAGTAACATATGAGAGTTTGTTATTACTCAAACAAGAGATATTGTATGAACAACGTTATAATATGAACCACTTTATTTTCAAATTTCAATCAATCAATCAACTTAATTCCTACATTCAAGCAATTTCCCTAACTACTTTCAATCAAGCAATTTCAATCAACTTAATTCCTACATTCAAGCAATTTCAATCAATCAATCAACTTAATTCACCCTTATGAAAAACACAGCATCAATATTCTCAATTGACCAAAACAATTTTCACAATTTCCCTAACTACTTTGGAGATCACAATCGTTCTTTGGTGCATTAGCTGCGTCTAGAAACCACCCAAAACTGAAGCAATTCATGATTATTCCGGGCCCAACTTAGGAAAAAATTCTGGTTAAAAAAATGAATCAGTATTGACCTGGTTGTCTTTAGCATAGAAGATGGTTTTGGATCCTCTCTATTACTAAGTAATACAGAGATCATTACTTCAATTCCAATTATCAATTATTTGATATATGATTGTGACTGTCTTTTTGAGTTTAGAATAGAAATGAGTATAGTTCATAGAAATATGGTTATAGTTTAAATCGTCTAGAACCATCCATTAAATAATCAATGATTTGATATAAATGTAGTGGTCTCTTCACTACCTTTCACTAGTGGCAAGATTCAAATCCCTAATGGCCCTTAAACTATTTAAAAACATGAAATTTTCCTATTTTATTCCTAGCCTTGTTAGAATGAAGTTGTCAGGATTCTTTCTGGCTCAATTATTGACTGGTTGCCAAATACAATCATAGAGTTATTATAATTTATTTCAAATTTATACATTCTCTTTGTGGCGCACCGTGTGGAAGCATGCTCGCGAACCAAACAAGTCGGCGAGCGATGAGAGAAAAACCAAACATGAGTGCAATTCCCAAAATAACATCCAAAATCACACACAAACACAGAAATTTACGTGGTTCGGCAATTGCCTACGTCCACGGGGAGAGGATGGGAAGATTTCACTATGTGGAGGAGAAACAACGTGTTACAATCTCTCAAACAACTCTCAAAATAACCCAACCAATGATCTCACACTCCCTCACAATAATCTCTCTCTCAAAGTGCTCAAAAGAACCAATTTTCTATGATTATCTCTTCTCTTCAACCCTAGAAAGACGTTTTTCTATTTATAACAAAATACAATCCAAAACAGGCTGGGAATCAGAAAACGCGTGTGCCACACCCGGGTGTGGCACGCACCACACCCCTGAATTGTAGCAGACAACTTTTGCCACACCCGGGTGTGGCACGCACCACACCCAGACTGCTAAATTTTTATGTTTTTCAACACTTTGAACAATTCGACGTCGTTTTCTGATTGTCAATGCATTTAGTTAGAGTTGAATCTAAAGAAGAAATACGATCTTTAACATTATTCAACTCATCATTTGGCATAATATTATTGACAATAGAAGTAGAACAATCATGATTAATTTTAAAAGAATTAAATTCATTCCTAATTGTTTCTACTTCTAACATGGCATCATTTTTCTCATGAGATAAACTAGCAATATCCATTTTTAATTTTTCATTGCTTTCTTTAAGGTTTACATTTCCATTAGCAATGATATCAAACTTCGTTGCTAGTGCCTCATGGTCGGATTTTAAAATAACGTGCTTGCTTTTTAAATCTATAAAATTATGATGCAATTTGTTATAGGCTTTCATTAATCTATCATAAGCACATGTGAGTTCATTAATAGATAGATCATCATCGGGATCGGACTCGCGTACCTCACTAGGGCTATCACCTAGTGGTCGTGTGCATAATGAAGACGAAGCTCCAATATTACTTGAAGTGGACTCCACAGGAATGCGTTGAAGTATCTCCAAGTTGTCATGATGTGCTTCTATATGTTTCCATAAATTGTAAGCACTATCAAAAGAAGCAAGCTTGTTAGAAATAGATAAGTCAAAAAACATTTCGCACAAATTCTAACAATAGCTTGTTCATAATAAACATTCTTTTATCATTTAAGGTCAACTTGGATTTTTCCAAAGTG